CTCTTCATCTCACATGTAGCATGCCCAAGCCAGGTCTTTCCTCTTCCTTCTTCCTCTGCAGGGATTGTGTTTAGCAACAACGAGGAGTGGTTGCAAGCCCGGCGGTTTGCTCTCAGCGCTCTGCGCAACTTTGGAATGGGGAAGAGGAGCATTGAAGAGAGAATCCAGGAGGAAATTGAGTACTTTCTGGAAGAGATTGACAAAACAAAGGGTATGGTCCATTTTTAATATAGCTTATGATTGCAAAAAAGAAAAAAAAAAAGACTGTACTAAGGGACTCATCTCTTCAGCATAGAGTTGAAGTTCCCATGTGTCTGGTCTGTGCACCAGCTATGCCCATTACAAAGCAGTAAATAATTCTATAATCATGTACTGTTCTTTTTGGAGGACCCTTCTGTGTCACTGAAAGACTGTAATCTGATATTTGCTCTAGTAACCAGATCTCAGGGTACCCAGAGTAGTCATAAGTAGCCACAGTTTGGGGGATTTTTTTACGGTTTGTAACTTATCTGAAATCACAGGAACACCTTTTGACCCAACCTTTCTCCTGAGCTGTGCTATCTCCAATGTCATATGCTCCATCGTCTTTGGGAAACGATATGGTTATAAAGACAAGAAGTTCCTGGCCCTGATGAACAACATGAACAACATCTTTGAGATGATGAATTCTCGCTGGGGACAGGTACATTCAGTAGCCATTTCACAGTGTCAGGTGTTCTATCCAGGGGAGCAGGAGGTCTCCCTCCCAATGAAGTTGCATTTCAGTCTTCTAACTAGGACTCCATCAATGCCCTGCTGCACAAGAGGGAATTCATTCAAGAGTAAGAAGCACCCTCACCAATGGAGTTGGCTTTGCCAGCTAAGTGCAGCTTCCCCCTAGCCCTGAACATCCTTCTTTTCCACCTTTGAGAATTCCACTACTACTAAGCAAGACCCTACCACACTGTTAGACTGCCCAGCCCCATACTTGTGCCTCATGCTGGTGCCCAGCCTCATACTTGTGCCAAGTCTTCTGCTGGGCACAGTTGAGAGGGTTGTAGCCTTCCTAGGCTTTTTGCTAATATGAAAGAAAAGGGCAATGATCATGCTATGGACTTTCCTGTTTCTTTCTTTCCAGCTCTACCAGATGTTCTCAAACATTTTGGTTTACTTGCCTGGCCCACACAACAACATCTTCAAAGAATTTGATTCTCTAAAAGCCTTTGTGTCAGAGGAAGTGAAAATACACCAAGCCTCCCTAGATCCCACTTCCCCTCAGGATTTCATCGACCTCTTCCTCAACAAAATGCAGGAGGTAAGGAGACAGCATAGAGCCCCAGCTCAGCCCCAAACACACCTACACTGAACCCCTTTCCTCTCCTAACACGGGCGTTAGGATGAGTCCTTCCCAGGCAGCTGCGCTGGGCTGTGGGAAGATACCAAACCTCAGATGCTAACTCTGCTAGAGCTTACAGCTCTGGGTCTACACACTTACCAGCCACTTCCTGTAGCTGCTTGGACAACAAGACTGTCACCTGCTCTCACCAAAACACAGGGACATTTGCAGTCTGGTCTTGCAGTTCTTTCACTAGAAACTAGCCAACCAGCAGTTGGCATAGCCAGGGCAAAGAGGCAGCTACGTAGCATTTGGTCAACAGCTTGAAAGAAGATTGCTGTGGGGTTGAGCTTACTGCATAAAGACGGCATTATAATGCCCCAGATGACTGCTGCACCTTAGCAGAGAAATGCAACAGCTCTGGGTGAAAAGGAAGGCCTGGGATGACACAAGAGAGGGCCACTTTTCTTATCTCAGCTGGAGAAACATCCCAGCTTTTTCTCTAGGAGAAAGACTGTCCCAATTCCACTTTCCACATGAAGAACCTGATAACCACCGCCTTCGACTTGTTCGTTGCTGCAACTGAGACAACTAGCACCACCATAAGATATGGGCTTCTGCTTCTTCTGAAACACCCGAAGATACAAGGTACCAGTCTGTGACCTCTTCCTCTTTAGCTGTTTGCCTGGGCTGGGCACATGTCTAATACCAGAACTTTTCTCCACCCTTTCTCATATTTCACCCAAATGGTCAAAGTCCCTGCACCATCTTTCCCCGGGGTGGTCATTAGCGATCCCTCAGCTTCGCTGGCATCATCATCAGCCACACTCTCCTCACGGCCAGGGACCTGACTGCGTTCACATCTTTGTCTCCTAGTACTCCTATTTCACCAAGTCACTAGGAAGACATTCTTTGCATGGGCTCCAGTGCAGGTGTGTTCTAGTTGACACCAAAACCAGCATCACTGCTCCTGTCACCTGTGATCTTTGGACAGCTTAGGGCAACCTGTTGAGGTAGGTTTGGTTTTCTTTACCCATTTTATGGTTTGTGCCTCTCATGACAGAGAAAGTTCAAGAAGAGATTGACCAGGTAGTAGGACGGTCACGAAGACCTTGTGCGGCTGACAGGACCCAGATGCCCTACACAGATGCAGTGGCCCAGTCAATCCAGCGCTCCATCTCCCTCATTCCCCATGGCCCTCCCTCACACTGTGACTAAAGACACACGCTTCAGAGACTATGTCATTCCAAAAGGTTAGTAGGCAAAGAGTGGAAGAGCAGCTCTGCCCAACGCCTTCTTCACCTGCTCTGCAGCTTTACCTCCCTGTAGAAATACAGTGGGTTCACAAAAAACACAGAGCAGTGACTCCTCACACAAAAGGCAGCAAAGCTGTGGAACTGCTCACCACCCTCCAGGAGAGACTGCAAAGTCAGTTGGTAGGTGCTGAGCACAGAAAGCCCCTCAGCCACAAAATGCTGGAGGCTCTCCTGGTATTCAAGGGAACAAGAAAAACCTGTTTGCCCTGTTTTTAAACACTGCTTGGGGCAGTCACTGCTGGCCACAGCCAGAGGCAGGGCTAGAGCAACCCAGGACCTGGCCTGGCCGGGCAGGCTACAGCAATGCTCATTGCTCTAATGGGTGACTATGGGAAACAGTAGCATGTGGCTGTTGCCATTCTGATTTTCAGCTATCTTGTAAAATCAAAACGCAGGACCCAGGGATGTGCTTAGCTTCCACCTCTTGTGTCATCACTGCTGGATTGTTTATTTCTCCCTACCCATGATCCACACAAAAGCTCCACAAATGATCCGGAAGGGAGAAAGAACAGGATCTCTGTCAGGAGAAATTTGTCAGGAGGATGCAACAGTGCTTTATTTCCACCACCGTGTATGCTTTTGCTTTTGGGATCTTGCAGAAAAGAAGGAACATGATGCATCTACACGTTCATGATTGTGAAACACTAAGAAGAAGAATTAGATAAGGCGTCCCCAGATGACTAGAACAGGGTGAGGATAAATGATGTGAAAGTGAGAGGAAGTGCTCCGGAAGAGAAGCCAACTGTCCCTGTTGTGATATCTAGCAGGGTCTCCCTAAAGCTGCCTCCTCAAAGGAAGGGTCCCCAAAGGGAAATGAAACATGGGTAGGGCTGTGCTGGGAAGCTGAGTGTTCCCTTGGTAGGCAGTCAGATTAAGTGGTCCAACTAGACTCCCCTTCATGTTCTCTTCTTCTTGTGTTACCTCAGGGCACTACGATTTTTCCCATCCTCAGTTCTGTCCTCCATGACAGTAAAGAGTTTCCAAACCCAAATGAGTTCAACCCTGGACATTTCTTGAATGCGAATGGCACCTTTAGGAAGAGCGAGTTCTTCATGCCCTTCTCAGCAGGTAAAGCACAGGCTTTCTCTCTCTTCCTCTGTTGACTTCCTGCTCTGGCAATCATCCTGTCTTTCCCTATAACACACACTCCCTCTCCCTAGCATGGTCCTCTTGGTATTCCCTTGGGGCTCACTGCTCTTTGGATAACTCCTCCCTGCTGCTATCCTCCTCAGCTGCATCTCCCATCTTGTCTGGGGCTTCTCAAACCTCCTCCTAGGAGTTGCCAATATAATGATACGAGTGGGACCCACTGACACTTTCTAAAATACCTGTCACCTTCCTGCAAAGCCACCAGTCATCCTTAACCATCCTGTCTTTCTGTGGTAGCTCCACTTTTCCCCAGCACCTCTCAAGTACTCTCCTACCAACAGAGCCCCTACCCTCTGCTTTCTCATCCATGCTTTATGTCACCTTGTCTCATCTTGTTTCCTGTGATGCCCCCTCCACATTTAAGACTTTTCTTATTACTGTTCTTCCTTCACATACCCAATCAAAGGGCCAAGGGTTTTTCTTCAACAAACTCTTCTCTTGCAAATGTCGTCAGTAATCCTGACGGTCATCTCACTGCTGTGGTTGTATCTGTGCAACACATCTGCTTAGTACACACTCTGGTCTAGTCAGCAGAGTGCCATTTGCTGTTTTCACCTTTAGGGAAGCGAATATGCCCTGGAGAGGGCCTGGCACGCATGGAGATATTCTTATTCATGACCACCATTTTGCAGAACTATACCCTGAAGCCTACTGTCAAACCCCAGGAAATCAACATAACCCCAGTGCTGAGTGGGACAGGCAACGTACCTCCTGCCTACCAGCTCTGTGCTATCCCCCGTTGAAAAGTACAAAACCATTCTCTGCACTCTACCACTCCTTCTCCTGGGTAGAAAATTTATCCCAGCTGAAACCAGGACACATGCCCCTTAATAAAAACAATTGCAGGAGCATTGGCCCACCTTTCCAAGGCCTCCAAAAGGGCACCCCAAACACAGGTACAGATACAGAGGAGACACCTTCAAAGCCTCCCAGAACTGCTCCATCACACCTCAGGGAGGCCTTGGGTGTCATTGTAGCCTGTTGCACTGATACTCTGTCCATGGGCTCATTGAGTGCAGTGGCTGCATCAAACAGCCTATTTTCTCACAAATGGCTCTCGTGACTACCCATGACATATTTCTCCTTCAGCATGGGTCCCCCCAAAAAAGCAGCATGCTTTGCATGTGGATACCACTGTATGCGTCTTTGTTAATGACCCAATAAAGAAAAATCTGTTTGAAAAGATTTGAGCCGTTATTTCCTTTGGGTTAGGTTGGTACCTACATCTGCTGCTCCACTGCAGAGTAGGTCTGCAGTGCCTGTGGCCAGTGCCCTGTGGTGAAGGCTGTTCCTACAGGGGCAAGGTTCCTGCCTGCTTCACCTGCTGGACCCATTGCTGCTGCCTGCAAGGATCCCCTGCCAGTCACAGCACAAGACCAGGCAGGAAGACTCGCAGTGCAGGATAGGAAGAGGGTCCTGCAGCCTGGGGCCTTTATGCAGCTCTATCTGCTGTTCTTGGGGTTGCCAACCCTGCTACCCAGAGCTGGACAAAGTATAACTGCAGCATCCCTCCTAAAGTGGTACATTCAGAGGTTCAGAGGCTGAAGTTCTGTCTGCCTTCACCCTCTTGGTGGGAGCCATGGCTGCTCCTGGAGGCTCCTTTCATGTCTCAGGCACTCTGTGGCCCAGCCTTCCCACAAGCTAGGAGTGGGAAGCCTTTGTTACGGCTCGGCCCTGTTCTCCTCCCACCATCTCCCCCTTCTGCTCCCACCCAGGCATTTGCTAGTACAACCTCACCTGTCACTGTGGCCACTCAGCACCCTGCCGTGAATCAAGATGGGGCTGCAAGACAACCAGCTCCAAGACTAACACCAATTATGACCATAAGCCAGGTGATGATGCAATACACATGAAAGAGCTGGGTGCTTCAATAGGACTGAGTATTCTTGACAGCCAAAACCATAGCCCTAAGCCACCTGCAAAACTGGTACATGCTAATCCTGCCCTGCCAGGGAAGTGAGGAATCCCAGTCTGCAGCTCCTCCAGGAGGAGGGGAGAGCAGTTGTTCACACTTACCTTTGTTACCAAAGTAACAAGGCATCACCCTATCCCTAGGGTCATAGCAGCAGCCTCGCACTTCACAGTCTCCTTGGTTGATAGGCAAGGAGGCACACAGCAGTCGGTCTTGGCTGAGTATAGCAGAGCAGACACTGCTGCTTGGAGCATCCAGGGCTGGAAGAAACAGCAGGAATTTGTAGCTAAAGCTCAGGAGTGAGGGACAAAGTCACAGAGGACACTGGTGGAAGGTGTCATGGTGACACAGCATACAAATCAAAGGAAGCTGGACTCTGATGAGGATCAAACACATGCCTGGAGCAGGCATGGAAGCCTGCTCAGAAAAGGCCTGTATTTCCCTGGGGCCCTGTAAAGGAGACTGCACTGTATGGCACCTTTCAAGGTAAAGTGCTCTGGTAGATAGGAAAATCATTGTAGCTAGTCTCTGCCCAGTCCCCAGGTTTACAGGGACTTACACTCAAACTGGGACCAGGAAACACAAGAAACACTCACCTGCTAGCCCGACAAAGGAGGCACAAGTCCCCAGCAAGCTAGTGGCTCCTGCGTCCAAATCGTTCTCCAGGGAGTCTTCTGCCCAACAGAAAATCCCCTTTCCCAACCCACTAACTGACTAGGAATGTCCATCTGAAAGGAAGGGTACCCACTGACACAGATACAAGCAGAGTCTCCCAAGGGGATGCCAGAATCTTACCAGGAAGGTCCACAGGGCACCTGAGCAGCTTCTCTTCATGAAGAACTTTTTGTCCAGCAGCATCACTTCCTTCAAGCCCGACCAGCATGAGATAATGGCCATCCTGCAGGAGAGCCACACCAGTCAGGGCAGCCAGAGCAGCGGTAGTCACAGTGCCAGCAGAACTCCTGAGGTCGCTTACCCATTCAAAGACATAACAGCCAGCGTAGGAGATCATTACTGTCTGGGAGCCATCTAAAGTCCCAAATACCAAGAGCCCACACTCTGAGTCATTCTGCAAAGCATGTGCCTTCCCCTCAACATCTAGAGAGAGAAGAAGACAGCAGCAGGGGCTTCAGCATCCTACACTGAATATAGAGTCCACTACAATCCTATTTTTCCACAGGAAATAAAACCCTAGCCAGTATTAGGGTCTGAATCAGTAGAGGTGTTTGGGAAAGCCCAGCAGCCAAGACCGTCTAGAGCCAAGCACAGCACTCCACCACAACCCTTGACTGGGGGGTCACCTAACAGCCCCCTGGCTACACAAGATGCATTGAGGCTGCTAGGCAACACTTCACATTAAAACCTTCCTCTTTCTCCTCATTCCAGACATACCTGTGCACTGTACAAAGACACAGCAGCAAGAAAGCCTCTTGACAGAATCCTCACTTACCCCAAGCAATCAACACAAAGGTAGTATTCCCTTGCCAGCCTAAAGATAAGGTGAGCTGCATGGTTTCTTGACCACAAGCCAGCAGACTGGGGTCAGAAAAAACACTACCCTGAGCTCCCATAACCAAAAACAGGAGACCAAGAAACCCCAAGAAGAGCATAGCTCCAAATGCAGTCCTAGATTGTCCTACAACACCCATCCTGCTCTCTTGCTGTCGTGGTTTAACCCCAACCAGACAGCTTTCACTCACTCACTCCCCCCCTTTCTTGCCCTCCTCCTACTCTCGGAGGGACGGAGAGGAGAATCAGAAAGAATGCAACTCCCACGGGTTGAGATAAGAACAGTTTAGTAACTAAGGTATAACACAAATCACTACTGCTACCACCAATAATAGTAATGATAAAGGAAATAACAAGGGAAGAGAATACAACACCCCATCACCAGACGACCGATAACTCGCCCCCCCAGCCCGACCAAGCACCGACCAATACCTCCTCCAACCCTGCCGTCCACCTGCCCTTCCGGGTAACTCCCAGTTACATCCTGGGCATGACGTGCTGTGGTATGGAATACCTCTTGGGTCAGTTTGGGTCAGGTGTCCTGTCTCTGCTTCCTCCCAGCTTCCCTCCTCCCTGGCAGAGCATGAGGCCCACAAAGTCCTGGGCCAAACCAAAACATCATTGTTTTCAGCTCTGTTCCCAGCTGAAAGTCAAAACACAGCACTGCACCAGCTACCAAGAAAGAGAAAAATGACTGCTACTGCTAAACCCAGGACATTATCCACCCCTTATTCCATACCATTCACGTCATGCTCAGATCCTACATTTTCAAGATACCATCACTCTGATCTCAGTGCACTTCTATCTTAGTGCATGGACTAGTCCCTATAAAGCTGCTGAGTCCATCTGGTCTATGATGTCAGGCTCCACCTCTTGTAGCAGTCTTCCAGAGCAGGAGAGACTGTGTGCAGTGTTCACACTTGTGAATAACCTGGGCAGTAGTGTCAATTGCTAAGTCCACCCCTCGATCATGAGTTCATCTCTGTGTTGCATCTCTGCTCTGATGGCCTTAAGTGTCATGGGCCCACTAGGCTCAAAATAATTCACTGTCCCCTTCAGCAGTTTCTGCAGCTTGTTACTGGGGACTCCATACAGCTGCCTTCCATTTCCAATGTTTCCAAAGCACTGGAGGGGCCCAGTGGACTAGATACTTGCCCATACTGTCCCACACACCCTGCCACTCATGGCTGTCCAGCCTTGGGGGAACCTCTTGGTCCTCCCATATTGTCATCTAACCCCAGACAAGACCCAAACCTGACTCTGCTTAACTTTTGAGATCAGACAAAATGGTGGTGGGTAAAACACACTCTGCGTGTGTGCCAGCATGCTGATCCCCATCACAATCAGCAGGGAGGTCCCAAGGATACCCAAAGGCCATCCAAAACCTTCAGAACTCTCAAGCGATGCTGCTGTACTTGTCACTGGGGCTGGTGTAGCTGCTGTGCTTGCCGGCTCTCCCACCACCAGCTTCTCTTTTGAGTCCAGCTCTTCCACCTCTGCCTTGCTGGGAAATGCTGCGGGGTCTCCTGCGTCCTCCTGGGGCTCGGCGGGCGGCTTCCGGGGAATGCTCTTGGCCGTCACGAGGCTCGGCTCCTCTGTGGGGCTCGGCTCCTCCACCGCCTTCTCCCGCTGCTCGGCAGCCGCCTCCTCCCGCTCCTCGACCGCCCTGACCTCCTCCACCGGCAGCCGCTCCCTGCCGGCCTCCGGTCCCGCTCCCGCTTGGTGCCCGAGGCCGCTCTCCCGGGCCGCTTCAGCAGCCGCCGGCTCCCGGGGACGCGCCCCCTCGGCTCCCCGCGGCCTCACGCAGATGGAGGCGAGGGTGAGGGCCAGGAAGGTGAGGAGCAGCCGGACGGCCAGGGACCAGTCAACGGCCACGTCCGTCCCACCCTGCTGCTGGAGCCCACCCGTATTACAAGTCATTGCCATAAAGTACAGTGAGACAGGAACCTTAGCCCAAGCCCCACACTTGATAAACACTAACACAGCAAATACCGGCTCTAAGCAAGTTACAACATTCTGAAGCTGTGAGATCAAGAGGAACAACTCTGAGAGCCAATAAATCAGCATTGTGACGGTCAGATCTGTCGTTATCTCAACCCCTCGTGCCCCACGTTGGGCGCCAAAAAGAACTGTCGTGGTTTAACCCCAACCAGACAGCTTTCACTCACTCACTCCCCCCCCCTTTCTTGCCCTCCTCCTACTCTCGGAGGGACGGAGAGGAGAATCAGAAAGAATGCAACTCCCACGGGTTGAGATAAGAACAGTTTAGTAACTAAGGTATAACACAAATCACTACTGCTACCACCAATAATAGTAATGATAAAGGAAATAACAAGGGAAGAGAATACAACACCCCGTCACCAGGTGACCGATAACTTGCCCCCCCAGCCCAACCAAGCACCGACCAATACCTCCTCCAACCCTGCCGTCCACCTGCCCTTCCGGGTAACTCCCAGTTACCTCCTGGGCTTGATGTGCTGTGGTATGGAATACCTCTTGGGTCAGTTTGGGTCAGGTGTCCTGTCTCTGCTTCCTCCCAGCTTCCCTCCTCCCTGGCAGAGCATGAGGCCCACAAAGTCCTTGGCCAAACCAAAACATCATTGTTTTCAGCTCTGTTCCCAGCTGAAAGTCAAAACACAGCACTGCACCAGCTACGAAGAAAAATGACTGCTACTGCTAAACCCAGGACACTTGCTAAGGGCCACAAAGCAGCTGCTCTTAGCCTACCCCTTTTATATGTTGGAGTCAGCTGGGATCAGAAATTCACTGACTGTCCAGGTAGACCCAGACCAACAATTTAACACCTTCCATTGCCCTCACCTGGCTCTGAACCCACCACAGTCTGTTTGCACCCTTTGAAGAAAACCACAGGGCAGGAACTGAGCTTGTGTCAGGAGCCGTATGTGTCTTCGTCTCCCTAAGCTAAGAGGAGCTCATCTGTGCCATTTGCTGTAGAGCTCCAGGAGGATCTTCAAACCCTGTTTCCTGACCCTGAGTTCTTCCCACCACTGGTTCATCCAGGATATCTGCCTGCTTGCCTCTGTGCAGCCTGCTGCTGCTCTAAGTGCTCATTACATCACATGAGTGCAAGAAGCTGAATGACAATGCTCTTTTGCTCTTTTCAAGGTGCCACTGTTCCAAATGCCAACACAGGTGCTGACATATAAACACAGAAACAGCCCTCCATGTGAAATCTGTGGAAAACTATGATGCTCAGGAGACTTTGCACACCTAAAAGGAGGTGATTCCCCTTAAGCACTCCTGGCTGTGGACTACACCTGCATTTGTAGTGTGGTTGTATGGGATAGCGGCAAGACTCTTCCAGGCCTGGCTGCAAGGTGGCAGGGCCATCCACTGTATGGGACCCTTACAAGCTGGCAGGAAGAGCCCTGATGGGCCTGAAAATACAGACAATAGGGGCCTCCGTGACCCCAGAGAAAGCCCTTCCTGCCAACAGCCACTGCCTGCTGTAACTGCAATGTGTCTCATGTAGAGCCTTCTCCCATGCCACACATCAGGCTACAGCAACCACACAGAGTAAAAGCCTTATTGTCCATCTTCCATACAGATGTTTCTGCATTCATGCAATGGAGGTGTGCATGTCTTTACATTGTTGTAGGGGTGATGCACACATACTTTGTGCATGCTTTTATATGCCCTACTGTTTGCAGTGGGAGCATTGGCCTAGCCTGTGCCATCATGTTCTTTTGTAATCTGCTTATTCCTTTGGGGCTAGATCATCACTTCCCAGAAGAGTCTGTGGGTTAGATGAGTAGGATTTCTAATCTTGACCCTTAATAATGTACTTCCATTGCTATCCAACTGCACTTCTGCTCTCAGGAGACCCTCCTGCTCCTTGATGTTTGCACAGCACCACAAAGCAGGCAGCATGTTTGCCTCTCCAGCCAGCCCTCATCAGCAGGCATGGGTAGTAACTGAGTCTAAGGGAAGTGCTTCCTCTGCTCTTCCACCTTAGCCTACAGCCCATCTTTCCTCTACAGCTGTACAGGATGCTGTGATCCCATCTAGGTGAAGAATATTACTGTGCCTGGCCTGCACACCGCTTTCCAACCAGAAAGGTTGTTCCACAAAGAACAAGACCTTTTCAGCTGCTCTGCACCGCAGAAACTGCTACACATGGATCTCAAAAGGCTGCCTGTAGGGCTGCTGCTTGAGCAGTGCTCATGAACCAGATGTGCTCCTGCCTGTGCCCTGCCAAGGCACTGACCAGCCACGGTGGAGAGGCACCTAGGAAAAACGTTTGGACTTTGTCAGGGAGGGAGACTTCACCTCTGTACAAGCTGATCATTGTTCCAAGTCACCCTGCCTCATCTCAGAGCTACTGTATGACTGCTGAATGCTTCATTTGACTGCAATACTTGCTGATAATTGGGTTAAGTGTAACAAATAAACAAAGTACCTTGGAGCCATAGATAGTTTTCATTACACTTTAACTCATCAATTCCTTGCCTATGCTGGCAGGATAAAACGTCTACACATACTTAAAGAACAACTCTGTGAATCAACACTGGGAGTGCTGTAGATCCCCAAGCAATATCTGTGCTAAAAACACTCTCAAGTAAACACCCTTTCGTAATTTCTACACACACATTTGAAAGCCAGGTTGGGTGATGTAGAGACGGGTGGCAAGTGAAATGAACCTGAAATTCATGGAAATGAAATGCTTTTGTTTGGAAGTTGTTATAGGAAGTGGAAAGCAACCTGGCTAAGAGGAAACAGGCAGGTCTCTCCAATCTCTTCCTCATGTATTTGATAGCTCCCACACGATATAATGGCCCAGCTGTAATTCAGCTAACACCCAAACCACCACAAACAGGACATGCAGAGGAGGAAGGTAGGTGAAGCAAGCATCTCTTCAGGTCACTAGTCACCAGCCCTTCCTACTCTTAGTGTCTGCAAACAGAAGTGAGTACTCAGAAAACCCTTGGGCACTACCGTCACATGAAATGGTCCATGCTTTCCCACAGTGAAAGATTTGAGTGACTAGTTTTAGGGGTTCCGCCCCCTTGTAAATCCCCCAGAGTGCCTGCAGGGTGGTGGGAATATCTGGAATATAATGATTTTATCCTGATAAAAATGAGAAATTTTGAAAGTATTCCTTGTTCCAGGGCTTTTGCCCAAAGTATG